CATAATTTCAATTAAATAGATATTTTTTATTATTAATTATATTTGGTTACCATAATATCTTATTTTTTAAATACATCGTTTTTATTAGTATTAATTTCTAGTTTAATTTGCAAAATTAATTTTTGAATTTTAATAAATTAAAAATTTACCGTATTAACATTATATTTTTATTGTTAAACCACAGGTGTTCGTCTTCTATGTACATTCCATGTTCTACAAGCATTCTGGAGGTGGTTACATGATTCAAAACACTATATCAAAAAGGAGGAACGTCCCGTTATAATGAATAAAATAAAACAAATCCTTTATGCATCATCTGGCCCTGAAATGGATAAACATTATGAGGAATTCAAGCAAAGCTTTTATAAATATCAACCTTTACAAAGACATTTTGATCTTTTATGGGAGCGACGTCATTTTTGGACTTTGTCTTTTCGCACTGTACTACCTATACGCGGAAACAATACCAACAATTATATCGAACGAAGCTTTGGTATATTAAAGGATATAATTTTTGCTTGCATTCAAGCATATAATATTGTGCAAGTATTTCAGTTTGTAACAGGAAGCATAGAGAAATTTTATGAATGAAGACTTCTTGGAATTGCTCACAAGCATCCTGGACATTTTCATATTGCAAAACATTTTCTATGTACTGGTTGGGAAATGGTAGATATAAATTCCATTAAAAAAACAAGTGTAGCAAATGAATTTTTAGTGCAGAGCACAAGACAAGATAATATTTACTATGTCATTAATAGTGGAATGGGTGTATGCACTTGTCCAGTTGGTGCATCTGGTACTCCCTGCATGCATCAGGGTGCCGTCGCTATTAAATATCATATAGCAATGTTTAACTTTATACCTTCACTAATACCCGAAGATCACATAATTTATTCATATATCGCGCTTAGTAAGTAATAGTATGAAAATAGAATATACTGTATATTAAATAATAATTACAAGTTTTAATTTTCTGCATATTATATTTACTATTTAAGTAATTTGGAGATA